AGTGTTCGCCTTCTCGGAGGGCTTATGGCTTTGGGGTATACGATTGCTAGCATCCTAAAAAGAAGAAGCCACGTATTCTCTGATGATAGGGTTTGTGTGAAAACTGATTGGTTGGAGCAACTTAATCGTCAGTATGTCCAGGTATTGTGCTAAGCATTTTTATTTTTTCTTAGTGCCTTCCCATTCTTCTTATATTAGAATTTACTTTATTTTATCAGTTCTTGTTTCTTGTTATCGTTTGCTCTTATTCTTACAAGAGAAATGACTTACCTTGAATTTTGTCTAATAACGGAGTTATTTCGTATTTTCCTGAGTATTGAAAGAATGTCTGGAATCCTCAAGCATGACACATGGAAGAAACATGTTTGCCAACATTGAAGTTGGTAAAACTGATCAAGCAAGTTTTTGTTTTACTTTTATGAGTATCTAAAAATGTTTGCTTTATGATTCTTAGGAACAGGGGCTTAAATCAAAGCAACTCACTAGGTTTAGAAATCACAATTAATTGACTATCTGCAGCAGCAAAAATTTTTAGATGAGTTATAGTTTTGTACTTTGTTTCCTACAATTGCTAAAATTATCACGTTAGGGGATCCAGTCATTCCTTTGTTGCAGAATTGTACTGCAGGATATAGTTGAATATTATGAAGCGTAGCTTCTAACTAGCTGAACTGGTTATGAAGGTGCAAGGAAAGGATCGCTTATATGTTAAATTCGTTGCGGAGCAGCTGGGCTTGGATGGATCATATGTGCCTCGAACTTATATTGAACAGATTCAGCTGGAGAAACTTGTAAATGATGTTATGGTATGATTCTTGCCGCCAACAACACACTTTACTGCTTCTGCAGTGGTTCTGATCTGTTTCCTCTACAGGCACTTCCAGATGATTTGAAGTCAAAGCTCAGCATAGATGATGATTTGGTTTCAAGCCCTAAAGAAGCTCTCTCGCGAGCATCAGCAGATAGAAGAATGAAGTATCTCAACCGGTATTCATTATTTTTGTCTATGTTTGT